AGGACCTTTAACCTACATTAAGAAAATGATTTAACTCTTTATCCATTTATTTAGTCCAACCTCTGAGCAGAGGAAACTAACTAGCTTTGTACCTTCTTAACTTCAGCGTTTTAAACCTTTTTACTTCTATGAATTAAATGGTTCAACAATTGTTTTGTTTCCCCTGGATAATCATGAGCACTCTGAGGTTAGGGTTGGTAGATGACAAGATGCAGACAGCACGTCCTTCAGTCACATTATATAAGGGATCACAGAATGTGGTTTAACACCGGAAACTAAACACCTGCAAGCTTAAGTTGCATGCTCTACTTTCCTTTTACCTCCTGGTTTATTTAATTTACTACTTCGTTCTGGATTGATTTATTGTCCATTTTGTTCTTATAGAAGTCGCTTATATCTGTACATGAAAACGTACATCCTTTCTTTCCCTATACATGAAATAAGAACCTGAAGTTCTTTTTAAAAACAAAACTGTCTTCACGCCGAAGGGAATCTGAAAATGTTAGACAGCATGGCTAAAATGACAGCGTTTATCTCTCTGACTCTAGTGGGATTATGGCTACAAGGAGCTACGGCAGGTGAGTTGGACAATTTAAAGATGTAAGGCAATGTTATTACTATCAAACTATGTTATTTATCGACTAATGTTTAATTTATGGTGGCATCATTGAATCCTGAGTATTAGACATTTTACTCAGTAATTTAAAATAATTAGAAATTAAACAATTAGGTTGCTAAAAGTTGTTTTTTACTTTGTTTAGCACTATGTAATATAAATTATTATCTTTATTGTTTAAAATTATCTTTCTAAGCGTCTTATATCTAAAATGGCAGCAGTGCTCTTAGTAGTTCTGTTATTCTGTAGAAATTGGCTTTGTTTAATGTACACTGTTGAGTTTATTTGGTAAAGTTACAAAAGTAAAAAAAAAGTTTAAAGAAGAATAATTAACAATTAAATATTAAAGTCTATTAAACTTGTTTCGTGTCTTGCTCTCCTCTTTTTGTGGAGAACCATTATTACCTGAATAAATTTTATTTTCAGAAACTTATTCTAGACCCTTCACTGGCTTTTCTTATGCAAAGATACATTAGACATTTTTTTCTGTTAATATTTACACCTTATGGTGAATGGTCCATTTAAACAAAATCCTTGATGAACTGCTGCATTATGTGAAAATCAAGTTAAAGAGCTTTAGATTAGAATCTCAATAGAAAAAAAAAACAAAGCGATACATGAATAAATAAACATGGAGTCTGATAGTTTAAAGTTTTCCATCAGATGGTTTCTCTGGTATTTAAACGAGGAACTGCTGATCCCAGCTTCCTGTACATCCTACTTCTGATACACAGATCGCTTGTCCACCTCTGCAGACCTGCAGTGGGTCTCTAGGATGGAGGAGGATTTTTAGTTATATAAAAATGTTTTTTTATGTTAATTCATAGGAGAACCAGATAATGCTATTAATGAATTAAAATGTCAACAAAAAAAAAACTCCCACAATTGAGGATTTTGACAAAGAAAAGTAAAAGTACTACAAAAAATATTAGAAAAATTCATTTAAATTCAAATTCAAATCGGAAATGTTTCAGCATAATGCTGCTTTTGATTGTTTTATGATTAAAATATGTATTCAACAGTAAAGGCTTTGAATAAGATTTAAAAATTAGATACAACAATTTAATGTGTTTGATACTATGCCAGTTAGTTTTATGTTCTTTCTGTGTTTTAAACTTGTCTTAATCAGCTAGTACTGCACTAATCCCTCTAGCTGTCAGATGTTGAATTACAACAAGTGTAACAAAGCAATTTTTCACAGAGAGCAAAATGGCTTTTTCTTAAGAATGTACAAGAACAACAATATGAAAGTGAAATAGAACCATTAAGCATTTTACCTTAATATGTTCTCCTCTAAGTGCCTGTGATGGTAATTAAATGTCTATAAGACTGGATGGTCTTTTGTCTCCCCCTGCTGGCTCTGGCTGGAATAAAACATTTCAGAGAAACAGTTAAACTGAAGTGGGGATTTTAAAGGTTTATGACACAAAAAGACAAAGAAAATCTTAAATCTGATCAAGTCACAGAAGAGGGAATTTTATCATGGCTTTTCTCTGTGGTGAGACATGAAGCTAAAACAAGGATGCAGACTGGTAATTATTTTATTGGACTTGTAAGTGTTATATATTCAATTCAATTCAGTTTATTTATATAGCGGCAAATTCACAACACATGTCATCTCAAGGCACTTTACAGTTCAACCAGATCATACAGTCAGATTGATTCAAAGTTTTCTATCTAAGGAAAACCAGTTGATTGCATTGACTCATGCTAACAGCTGTTAGTGTTACTGATGTAACTTTATTGATTTTTTAGTCTACAACAAAAAAGTGGTTTATTTTTACACATAATCATTGTGGGACTGCTCCCATCAAACCTCTACTGAGAAAGGAGGGACGTTCAGCAGAACATTCAGAGCTGATTGGGTGAAGCGACAACTTGTTCCTGCCTATCAAAGTTTGGTTTAGCCAATCATAGAAACAAATGAAATAAAGCAGACGCCATGAAGAACCCCAACTTATGCTTTACTGATCTAGCTATTCCTCTTTCCAAGATGAAATAATGGATTCTGAGAAAAACAGATGTGCTGATTATTTTAAACTAAGCAGCTCCTGTTCTTTTTACAGCTACGTCCAACCTCAAAATAAATGACTGTAATATGGTTTATCACCTGTTTTAGGATTTCAATTATTTCAGCTGGAGCTGTACATGGTGGATTTTCATGTGTTTGTTATTGATGAACTCAACCTGAATTTATTTAAAGACGTCACATATCTAGAACTATTCAAATGAGCAAATTATATTCTTTTTCTGTGAAGAAGTGTTTTATCCTCTATAAGCAACAAACCAATTGAGCGAATTTTATTATATTTAGGAATAACTACAGCTAAATACAATAAAAACAGATAATCTGAAAACAATATTATAGATTGAACCAAAAAAAAAGTAAACACTGGCTGCAAAGAGATTTAACTTTGCCAATTTTCTAGTAACATTACTGCAAAATTATCATTTGAAAGTGCAACAACACTCACTGAGAAAAACACCACCATTCACAC